ACTGAAGTGCTGCTTTGGCAATTGATGTTCACATACCATGTGAGATGTCAGCTGTAAGCTCCGTGCTGTGAGATGTGCCTCTGTGTTGGATGGTAGGAATCAAGAGAGGACACTAGCCACCAGGAGTGGGCAAGTAGGAGGGCCATAGCCTAGTGCTCAGGGAGTAGAGAGCCATTGCTTTAAAATGTAAAAAGCCAGAAAGGTAGTACCCTATTCAACCATTTATGTTGGAGAGTGAGTGTCTACCTTCAGCAGGCACCTGGCTTCCAAGTTACAAAATTGCCTTCTATCATGAAGAGATGAAGAGTTCATTTTGTCATTGAATATAACTAATTAGCATACATGGATGGCCACCTTCATTACCAGGTGAAATTAGAATGAACTATGTGTGATGTGGTGCTATAAATTCTACTTGTGGACTAATTATAGTGACCATTTTTCTGTCTTTGCAGATTGACTTTGATATATGTCGCATTCTAGTTTAATGGTATAATAAAACAGTTTTTTTCTTTTCTATTATTGTGGAGTTTCTCTGGAGCTGGAGAAAATTTTTCTCTTTTTTTTTTTTTTTCTTTTTTGAGACGGAGTTTCGCTCTTGTTACCCAGGCTGGAGTGCAATGGCGCGATCTCGGCTCACCGCAACCTCCACCTCCTGGGTTCAGGCAATTCTCCGCCCTCTGCCTCCTGAGTAGCTGGGATTACAGGCACGCGCCACCATGCCCAGATAACGTTTTATAATTTTTAGTAGAGACGGGGCTTCACCATGTTGACCAGGCTGGTCTCGATCTCTTGACCTCGTGATCCACCCGCCTCGGCCTCCCAAAGTGCTGGGATTACAGGCTTGAGCTACCGCCTGCGGCCCGACAAAAACCTTTTATCTGAGAAATACAAATTCAGTTGTCAAACTCAGAGTGACATTAAAATGAGAGCACAGCTTTGTCTTTTTTTCACCTTTGAACTATATTCATCTCTAAAACTGTTTGCTGTTGCCATTAATTAAATGACAATAGCTATAAATTAAACTACGCATGTCACACTGGACACTATAACCCATACCGTAAATCTTGACAATGTATATCCAATCAATAATTAATGTTATTTCTTAAATAAATAAGAATGTTTGTATCAGCCCAGTTTCTATACTTCTATTTTTACCTTTACAAATTCACTGGTAGCTACTGCTAATTAAAGTATAGATTCCAGGCAACTTGAATGTTTGCTTTCAAGTTACAATTCTCATGTTTGGCCCCAATACACTGTCTACTCATATTCATGTTGACTCAGCTCTTCTTTTTTAGGTAGACATATCACTTAGAATGTACTAGAGCAGCCTGTAAGAGGGGCTTTCTCATTTGATTGTACTCCGCTTGCTGTAACACCCAAGAATGCAGAGCCTAGTTGATCCCACCTAGAATCTGCACATAAGTTCTGACCTCTGCCTGGTATTACAAAACACGGGCCAGAGATAGGATTGAAAATGTACTGAAAACCAACAAAAGGCCTTTTCTGCATTGTGAGATGTCAACATTGGCATCTTAAAGTTTCTTTTTGAGACTGTGGCACTTTGAGCTTTTCAGCTCTTATCGGGTGACCTGCTATAATTATGTAAGAGGTTCCAGGTGTAAACAGAATCTGATGGCAAAATCTGCAAGTGTAAAAGGCATCTTAGGAGTGAGAAACCAAGACCACAGTGTATCCAGAGCATAATCACAACTACGCCTACCTGTAAAATGTGATTCTGTAGTATAGTATTCTTCTCTTTCCTCTTACCCAAGAGGTAGCTAGTCCAGACAAGGTGATCCAGGTTCTAAAGCTACACCAGGGCAGTTCTATTTGCTATTTAGAATAAGCCCGAGTTTCCCCTGCCTGGCTTACCATTGGGTCATCAGCCCAGGCTCACTGGAAGACCTCTTACAATCACCTGGGTATCATTGAGAAATTTGAGGATATCCAGAGCAGAACTGTGTCAGTCAGGTACGAGTGGTTAATTCTCCTAAGTCTCAGTGTAAGAGAAATGAGTCAGCCTGTGTTTGTTCCTCCCCTCATACAAAAGATATCTTTGGTATCCAGATGAAAGTTTCTCCAGTTTCCTGGTACTTGTGTGAAAAACAAGGTCTGGAGACTCAAACAGATAAAGTATTTTTTTATTTTTTATGGCCATTCAGAAAATACTTGAAGCAGTTGGGTTTTTACCATCTAGGAACTTTTAGTCTAGACTAGCGACAAGATACATTGTTGAATTAAGAATCATATAGTTGGGGCCAAGTGAGATGGCTCAAACCTGTAATCCCAGCACCTTGGGATGCTGAGGAGTGTGGATCAGGTGGTCAGGAGTTCAAGACCAGCCTGGCCAAGATGGTAAAACCCCATCTCTGCTAAAAATACAAAAATTAGCCAGGTATGGTGGTAGATGCCTGTAATCCCAGCTACTCAGGAGGTTGAGGCAGGGAATTGCTTGAATCCAGGAGGCGGAAGTTTCAGTGAACTGAGATCACATCACTGCACTCCAATCTGGGTGACAGAGCAAGACTCCATCTCAAAAAAGAAAAAAAAAAAAAAAGAATCATATGGTTGGTGCAATAAATAGATGTGTGCAAAAAACCTTAGCCTTTACTTGGGCCACTTTATATTTTTGCAACTTCTGATGTCATCATCTTAAGAGATATTTAGGGACATAATAGTTGTTATTACTATTTGTATTTATTTTACCTTGCTAGGAATACATATTTATTCTCTTAGAAATTACCTTGGAAAATCTTAAGAGATTTGTTGTAATTGCTTATTAGTACATGTTACAAAATTGACAACACAGTAGCTAAAAAAGATTAAAATTACACAAACTCTGGCATTGAAGTTTCTCCTAGGTAAACTTAGAAAAAACAGAACTGGAGATGCCCCCTAGAGGCATAGAGCACAGAATTCTACATAGGGTACTCTCCCTGACCCAGTTTCTGTTCAGATTCACCTTATTTGGGGGCTTCATTTAGATCTGGCCCCACCTTGGAGTCTTGCCTCAGAGAACTGATTAGAGAAAATCAGAGTTTTGTGTGCTAAATCCTGGTACCCTTCCCTCCCTCCCTCCCTTCCTTCCTTCCTTCCTTCCTTCCTTCCTTCCTTCTCTCCCTCCCTTCCTTCCTTCCTTCCTTCCTTCCTTCCTTCCTTCTCTCCCTCCCTCCCTCCCTCCCTCTCTCCCTCCTTCCTTTCTTCCCTCCCTCCCTCCTTCCTTCCTTCCTTCCTTCCTCCCTCTCTCTTTCTCTCTTTCTTTTTCTTTCATTCTTTTTTTTTTTTTTGACAGACTCTTGCTCTGTAGCCCAGGCTGGACTGCAGCGGTGTGATCTCAGCTCACTGCAACCTCTGTCTCCCAGGTTTAAGAGATTCTTCTGCCTCAGCCTCCCCAGTACCAGCACACCCACACGCAGCTAATTTTTGTAGTTTTAGTAGACATAGGGTTTATTGTGTTAGCCAGGCTGGTTTCAAATTTCTGACCTCATAATCCGCCTGCCTGGTCCTCCCAAAGTGCTTGGATTGCAGGCGTGAGTCACAGTGCCCAGCTGAATCCTGCTACCCTTCCAGAGCTTGTGCCCAATTTCCTGAAACACAAAAGGTGATAAATGGAAAAATCAAATATGTATGTTGTCTTAATTTTTAAATTTTCTGTTATAACCAGTGCTTGCAGAGACTTTCCATTTAGTAACTTGTTTTCTATTCCTTCAGATCCAGTAGTTGTTAAAGAAGTAACAAGAAAATAAACATAAATACAGTAATAATTTCTCTAAACTACATTAACCTCTTCTTTTCTGTATCCCTCTCATCTGACTATATTTAGCTTTTATTCTATACATTTTTTTAAACAACTAATGATAGAGAAACAGGAAAGTAAATAAAAATGCTGGGCCCTTTATCTAAATAAGGGGAATTATTAGACACTTAGTACCAACTCCAGTGTGTTATGAAGATTAAATCTCATATTATTCCCAGCAAACTTCTTTATAACATACTCTTGATCACATAGTACTTGCTTAATAAACATTGCATTAATACCTGTATATATGCTGTTTTCCAAAAGCAGACTTATTACTTTCTCCTAAAGATCCAGCAAATAATATAATATTGTAGGATGGAGATTGATTGTCTTCATTTTTACCAAAATTATATGTGTTGTGACAAGATTGTGGAGTGTAAGGGATTCTGTGCTGTGCTTGTTTTTTCTGACTAATTCTAATGATGAGGCCAGGGGAGCAACATCAGCACTGACAGTGGACTTGGCTAAAATACACACTATGGACCATTTGCAAACCTCTGGAATCACATTACCTAGAGTGGGGCCAAAATTACCAAGAGATGTATAAGGTCATTCAAACTTGAGAGGTAACTCTTAGCTAAGTGGTCATCAGCCCAGGCTTCTAATTAGAATTACATGGCCAATTTGCAGAAATCTTTTTACTTGTGTTTATGGGCAAGAGAAACTGGGAAAAACAAGTTCTTTCATTTACTGGATGTTTGACAGAATATTCTTATTAGGCCAAAACCAGTTACATTACTGGCGAACTTAATAGAAATTCAGAAATCAGTCTTTATTTCTAATCTTCTGAAAAAAATAATTTGCAAGACCAGATCTCCAGTTCATTGTACACATTGAAATTTGAGGGGTGTCTTCTAACTCAGCATGTCTTTTCTATCTGAAAAATATACACAGCTCATTTAAAATGTACTTAAAATGTACTTAAAATGTACATTTGTGTTTATGCCCTGAATTTTATACTTTGTAATCCAGAAAACTATTATATGTACACTCATGTTGTGGATTATGCCACTGTCTTTACACAGAGTTAGAGAATACATTAGAATATATTTCTGTGTTGAGAACTATTTTATAATTCAGTCCTGTAAGTTAGAAACACTTCTGTTTGCTCTCATTTCATCTTTAGTCAAATTAAAAATTCTGCCCATGGCCGCTTGATGTGTGTGTGTGTGTGTGTGTGTGTGTGTGTATTTATCAGGGACCATTGACGTTCATGGATGTGGCCATAGAATTCTCTCTGGAAGAGTGGCAATTACTGGACACTGCACAACAGAATTTATACAGAGATGTGATGCTAGAGAACTACAGAAACCTGGTCTTCCTTGGTGAGAATAACTTCAATATGCATTCATAATATACCCTAAATGTTTTATTCTATTTTATTTGTAAAATGTTTTTGGTAATTTTTGCTTTGTATAAATAAGTTTAAGATTCCTGTTTTGAAAAAAAATTTGGAAATTTGTTTAGAGAGGAGTATCTTCAAGATGTTTCATGTTGATCTGAATTTTTCACATTCCTGAGCTGATCTGTATTTTTTACTGTAGATTATTGGTAATGACACAAAGTTGGTGGCTTAAAGTATTGTTTCCTACACCTTAAAATCTGATTACCACCACCAGTTTGTTTGTGTTTTTTTGTCTTGTTTTTGAGATGGAATCTTTCTCTGTTCTCATGCTGGAGTGCAGTGGTGCAAGCTTGGCTCACTGCAGCCTCCACCTTCTGGGTTCAAGCAATTCTCCTGCCTCAGCCTCTTGAGTAGCTGGGATTACAAGCACACATCACAACCCCCAACTACTTTTTTTTTTTGTATTTTTATTAGAGATGGGGTTCCACCATTTTGGCCAGGCTGGTCTCTAACTCCTGACCACAGGTGATCTACCTGCCTCAGTCTTTGATAGTTCTGGGATTACAGGTGTGAGCCACTGTGCCTGACCTTCCACCACCAGTTTTTGGCTCAGTAGTACTAGGTAGTGAAATTAAGAACATACAAATTTAGGCCGGGCACAGTGGCTCATGCCTGTAATCCCAGCACCTTGGGAGGTGAATCACCTTAGGTCAGAAGCTTGAGACCAGCCTGACCAACATGTAGAAACCCCGTCTCTACTAAAGTTACAAAATAATAGCTGTGCATAGTAGTGCATGCCTGTAATCCCAGTTAGTCAAGAGGCTGAGGCAGGAGAATCACTTAAAGCCAGGGATTGGAGGTTGCAGTCAGCCAAGATAGTGCCATTGCACTCCAGCCTGGGCAATAAGAGTAAAACTTTATCTCAAAAACAAAAAAATACAAATTAAAAATATTTTTTAAATATTCAAAATTTTTGTTATAAATTATTATTTTGGAATTAATTTACTAAGATATTCTATTATATCATTCTTACTGAGCAAATTACTAGCTTGAGAATTGGAGAATATGAACGACATACATGTTACTTTATTTATTTTTAATAAAACAGGTACTGCTTTTTCTAAGCCAGACCTGATCACCTATCTGGAGCAAGGAAAAGAGCCTTGGAATATGAAGAGACATGAAACTGTAGCCAAACCACCAGGTATGTGAGAATGAATGCAACAGATGAGAGGTCCAAAAGTTGAAGAGAAAGTCAGTCCTTAAAATGTGATTTGGGAAGCCATGTTCCAAAGGAAAGGAAATAGTTTCTGGGATGCCTGAGGACTTTTTTATTTTGCTCTCACACAGAGGTATCCTCTGTCTTATGTGTTTAAATTTTCCAAAGATTCTACTTTCTCTTTGGTGATCTTTTTTCAAGAGCCCATAGTCCTCTTCATGAAGTACAAGAGACTGCACAATCTGACTGCTTTTCCATTGTTTTTGGGGACACACACATATCTGCATGATTTTGAGAAACCTCTATGGTAAACTCTTGTTTTAAATTCTCTTTTAGAATCATGCCTGAAATGTGTGAGTGGTGGTTTATGTCCCATCTTTGTTGCTGTTGTTCATTTTTCTACACAGTCATCCACTTTTTATTACTACAGTCTTGAAATACAGTTTGAAATTATAAAGTGTGATGTCCTTCTGCTTTGTTGTTTTTCCTCAAGACTGCTTTGGCTATTCAGAGTTTATTGTAGTTTCATGTAAATTTTTGAATTGCATTTTTCATGACTGTGAGAAAAATACCACTGAAATTTTGATAAGGAGTTCACTGAATCTATAGATTACTTTGGATACTATGGCACTTTAAAAATATTCTTTCAATCCATTGGCATAAAAAAATTTAGATTTATTTGGGTCTCCTTTAATTTCTATTTAATTTTAATTTAATTTTATTTCTTTTATTGATATCTTGCAAATATTTTTTACATCTGCTTACTTTTTTTCTTAGAAACTTATTGTTTTAATACTATTCCAAACAGATTGTTTTTCTGTTATATCGGAGAGTTTGTTTTAAGTGTATGGAAACATAACTTATAATTTAATTTTATCTTATTTTTCTAATTTAATGAGTATATTTATAGTTTAGACAGATTTTCATGTACTCTTTATAGCTTTTTACATATAAGATTATACAATCTAGAAACAGCAACTTTTTACTTTTTTGTCTTCATTTTCAATGTCTTTAAAAATCTTTTTGACTAATTCTTCTGCCACATAGTTTCAGTGCTGTGTTAAAATAGAAGCATTGACAATGGGCACAGTATAGTTTTGCATTGGTGTCTATGAATTTGAAGGAGAAAGTACCTCTTCAAGTTTTTGTAAAAAGTTTTTAGAAGGTAAATATTTTCTTTTGCTAGGCCCCCAGGGTGATGGGATGCTCTCTGGGTTTGTAGTGGAGAAGGTTTGTAGTTGGGTTTGTCACAAGACTTCTGAGTCTACACTGGCGTCCACCTTTAGTTGGCTTGTTACAAGGAGCTTGGGTAGTTGTAACTTCCATTTTATTTTTAGACAGACTGAATGTCCTTCAGGACTTTGATTTTTAGAGCAGACACTAAGGGAGGTACCTGCAGTTGGGCCTTATATCAAGATGTGGATTAGTATGGCTTTCACTGAATACCAGAGAATTTTTCTTTCTTTCTTTTCTTTTGAGACAGAGTCTCACTCTGTCACCCACACTGGAGTTCAGTGGCACAATCTTGGCTCACTGCAACCTCTGTCTCCCAGGTTTAAGCAATTATCTGCCTCAGTCTCTGAGTAGCTGGAAATACAGGTGCCTGCCACCATGCCGGGCTAATTTTTGTATTTTTGGTAGAGACAGCGTTTCACCACCTAGGCCAGGCTGATCTTGAACTCCTGACCTCATGATCCACCCACCTCGGCCTCCCAAAGTGCTGAGATTACAAGCATAAGCCACAGCACCCAGCCCGAAATAGGATTTTTCTAGGTCACTATGTGGGTTTCTATGTAGTGGTATCTGGCCATGAACTGTGGTCCAGGAAGCTAAAACTGAGTCATTGAACAGCTTCAGAGATCACAGTAAAGGCCAAGGTCTGCCGGCCTGCCTGCAGGTCTATTAATTTGTATCTTCCTCCAGGTCTCTGGGTTGGAAGGGCCTCTCCCAGACGGTTGCTGGGAGGAGTTTGGGATGGTTACAGAGTAAATTCACAATTCTCAGTGAGACCAAGTTGGGTGGACCATTCATTTCCTAGGCTTTAGCAGAGTTCACAACTTCCTTCCTGGATCTCAAAGCTCTATTAAAGGCACTTATTTTTGAGATGGGGTCTTGCCACATAAACCAGCCTGGTCTTGAAATACTTTCCTACAACAATTCTCCAACCTCAGTGTACCATGTAGCTGTCATTATGGGGGTGAGTCATGATGTCTGACTCCAGTATGTAGGCATTTTTATCAGGGATGGCTGACAAATTTTCTTGCTCTGGGAGAATGAGAAAATAGAGCACCTGTTATTTTTCAATTTTAGTGATGTTACTATCTCTGTACATTTCTACTTTCTGTCTTCTATTTCAAATTTGTCTGCAATATTAGATTCAGGACATTTAGGACAACATGTTAGAATATACATGTTATGCGTGTGTTACAGAATCTTTGAGGTGTCAGGTTTTTTTTTCCTGGAAACCCTCTGTGGCCGGTGGCCCCATTGCTCGAGTTCTTGTCCTGCATCCAGGAAGAATAAGGTACGCAGACAAGTGAAGGGTGAAGAAAACAAGGAGGATCTTTATTTAGTGTTAGTACAGAGGGGACCCACAGTGGGTAGCTCCTCTCTATAGGCAGGTCCTCCCATCAAGTGTTCAGCTCTCAGCAGAGAGGAGGCCCTGAGGAGAGGCTTCTCTCTGCAGGCAGGTTGTTCAGAGGTCTCTAAAGGTCTCCGAAGCTGCCAGCTGAGAAGGTAGCTCATCTCTGCAGCTGATCATCACATGGTTTCTGTGTCCTCTGCCCTCTCTGTCTGAGGCTGGGGCTTTTCTGGACCTCAGAGGGGAGTAAGGTCATTACAATTGGTCCATGGGTGGCCATAGGCAGGCCGGGAGGAGGCACCAGAAGTCCCTATTCTGGTCTGTGGGCCCCTGAAGGTGGTACTGTATAAGAGACTCACTCTTTTCTGCCAAGAAATCTGTCTGCCTCCTACTGCCATTTATGACCCATGGGCTTGGCTCCAACCGTACTCTGAGATTGGAGTGTGCAGGCTCTGGGAGAGGAGAGGTGATGAAACAAGAGCAGACACCTCCAAGTCAGCAGCAATGGGGGACCACCTTCCCAGGACACCAAAGCTGTAGGCAGCAGAGATGCCCATGTCTTCTGCATGGGAGGATAGCTGCAGTTGCACCCAGGGAACTCCAAATTCACCAACTCAAAAGGGGCAGAGCTCCCGTTTGTCCTTGTGTAGCAGGAGGCCCAGGTCTGTAGCCATGAGTCAGGCAGCTGCTGCTGCATCTGGGAGGAAAGATCCTGCCCTCCCCCAGTGAAAAATATGATTGACAAAAGAAATTTAGTCACCTTTGTGATTTACAATAAGCTAACACAATAACTTTAATTATGATTGATAACACAAACTCAGACATCAGAATATCAGGAATCCCATACAATTTTTGGAACACACATTAACATTTTCACGAAAATATTACCTGAAAATAAACACTATCTGTTCAACAATCCTATGTCAATAAATATGTCAAATAATCCTGTTTACCTCTCCCTTGGATGCCCCAGGGGCCCTCTGTAGCATCCAAAAGCTAGGGGTTAAAAAAGACAATTTGGAAGCTTTGAAGACTCAAAACACTTAATAGAAATTTAGCTTATTATAAGTCATCTGTTTAAAAGACACACAGTTTTTTTGTTTTGTTTTGTTTTTAAGAAAAAACTCAGCAAGAGGGAAGATCCAGTATTTCAAACAATCTGTTTCTTGTCTTTTCCTTCCTTTTTAGATGGTTTATTCACAAGTCAAAGAAGAATCTTTTTCCAAGGGAAAGAAAGCCAAATTTCACACTTGTGTTAGTCTATTTTTGTCAACCCCAACTTTTTAAATGAAACCTTATAGATAATTTCATCCAATCTCAACCATTTTGACCATGAGGTGCTATTCTTATAAAGCTTTTATAACCCTTTACAAATTTGTCTTAAAGAGTAGGTCAAGGCTTCAAGACACCCTTGTTGTGCTTTTATTCCAATGTTCAATTTAGGGAAAAACCAAATAATATTTTATTGAATTTAATCAATATGTGGACACATAGATCCTCTTTATTTTTACAAACTTTCCATACCTTGTTTAAACGTTTAGGTTTTTCTTATTTAAAAACAATCCTTTAACTCTCTAAACTAGGCAAAAATTTGCATTTTCACACCTTCTTACAGTCTTTTATTAAAGACATATTTCACTTTCTTTACACACCTTGCATGCAAATCTGTTTTCCGTAGTCTCAGTTACATGTTATAATGGCAACTGTTAGCAATCCTTAATTTTGGTGAAATACCTGGTAAGTTATTTCAGTTTTACATACTTAGGTGCAGATCAGGTTTGACTGTTTTTGGCATAGCTAGGGACATAGCATATGTTTCCAGCTCTTACCAACCTGTAAAGCAGGAAAGTCAAACAACTTTAAAAGTCCAAAGAAGCAGTTAGTGACCTTGAAGCATTTACCCAACCTAGTTTCTTACTTGCATAATTTGGAAAGTACATCTACATTTTTTAGACATTTCTATTTTTATTTTAGCAATAATTTTAAAGCTAGCTTATTTACTTAAGTTACACTTAAGTCACATGTATTTAAAAATTGCTGGCTGGGTGCATTGGCTCATGCCTTTAATCCCAATCCATTGGGAGGCCGAGGTGGGCAGATCGCCTGAGGTCAGAAGTTCAAGATCAGCCTGGCTACATTTAGGAGAGATGGGGAAACTCCATCTCTACTAAAAATACAAAATTAGCTGGGCGTGGTGGTACACCTGTAATCCCAGCTACTCGGGAGGCTGAGACAGGAGAATTGCTTGAACTCGGGAGGTGGAGGTCGCAGTGAGCTGAAATAGCACCACTACACTCAGGCCTGGGCAACAGAGTGAGAATCTGTCTCCAAAAAAAAGAAAGAAAGAGAGAGAGAGAGAGAGAAGAAAGAAAAGAAAAAGAAAGAAAGAAAGGAAGGAAGGAAG